ACACTTTTCGGCTTCTCTTTGGCATATCTGAATTGCCAGCATCACTGCTCCTGTGATTTGGGGCCATTATTAAGTAAAATAAGGGTGACTTGAACACAAGTGCTGTGATACTGATACGGTAACAATTGATCTGATGACCGGTGGCTAATAAGTGACTAACGGCAGTAGCGAATACAGCGTGGACACTCTGCACAAAGGGACAATTCATGAAGTGGGACAGTGCGAGATTTTATCACGCTACTCTGAATGGCACGCAATTTAAAACTTAAGAATTTTATTTCTGAAACTTTCCTTTTAACATTTTCAGATCGACTATGGGTCACAAAGTGAGGAAAGCAAAACTGCAGATAAGGGGGGACTTCTGTACCCTTCAGGAGTGGGGCGGATGAAAAGGTAGAGAGGAGGCAGGGTCAGATCACAGGATGGAGTCTGACTATCATCCTGAGGTGATGGGAGCTGGGGAGGCTTCAGGACTGGAGACTCGAGGTCAGATGTGCATTTTAGAGCCTCGCTGGGGCATTGTTGGGGGTGGACTAGGGGAGAGGAGACCAGAAGCAGAGCAGTCAGTAAGGGCCATGGCCAGTCCTAGGAAGAGCTGGTGTGACCTAAACCAAGGCTGGAGCAGATGGAGCAGCAGAGAGGTGGGCAGTAGAGCACTGGAGGGGGTGAGGATGTGGGGTGAGGGCTCCAGATGATCCCCAGGCTTCTGGCCTACATGCAGGGGTCCTCAAGAAGAAGAAGACCTGGGAAAGAGGTGATAAGAAGTTGTATTAGTCTGTTTTTGTGTTGCTATAACAGAAATACCTGAGACTGGGTAATTTATAAAGAACAGAGGTTTATTTGCTTACGATTCTGGGACAACTGCATCTGGTGTGGGCCTCAGGCTGCTTCTACTCATGGCAGAAAATGGCAGGCTGATCTGTGGGTACAAGCAGATCAAATAGTGAGAGGAAGCAAGAGAGAGAGGGGGGAGGTGCCAGGGTCCTTTAAACAACCAGCTTTCTTGGGAACTAAAAGAGCAAGATCTCCCTCACTACCCCCCACAAGGCACTTAATCTATTCCTGAGAGATCCGCCCCCATAACCCAAACCACTCCCAACATTGCCAAGTTGGGGGTCAGATTTTGACATGAGCTTTGGGGGGACAACACATCCAAACTCTATCAGAAGTTCACCCCATCGTCCCACTGTCACACGAAGACTGTTGTCAAGAATCAGTGATCTCCAAGTTGCTAAATCCATGGTCATTTCTGTTCTAATTGAGGTTTGACTCATTTGGCCACTAGCTTTGCCTCCTTTCTGTGGCCCCCACTCTCCTAGTTTTTCTGCCACCATCACAGCCTCTGCTGGTTCCTCCTGGTAATCCCTGTCCTGGGGGCTTCCTCCTTGTGTGCTCATGCGCTCCCACAGCCCCATAGCTCTAAATCCCAGCTCTCACTGGCGTCCCTGGCTTGCGTCTCCGTCCTTCTCCTCTGCCCTCAGGTCCAGTCTTGGCTGCCCAGCTGCCCGCTCAACATCACCATGTGGCGACTCACGCTTACGTGTGCAGCACAGAATTCTACATTCCTGTGCCTAGACCTGTTCCTCTCATCTGCCTCGTCTCTGTAAATGACAGCCCTATCCCTGCAGTGGTTCAAGTCAAAAATTCCTGTCTTCCCCCTCTCTCCAGCCCCATGCCCATCTCGTCCATTTGCAAATGCTTCCTTTAAAACAGGTCTTGAGTCCAGCAGCCTCTAAATGGTCTTCCTCTACACTTCTCCTCTTGTCCTGCCCCCTCCATCTGTAGCAGCAGCCAGAAGGCTCTTTTACAAATGTAAATTACATCTTGTCCCTCCTCTGTTTAAAACACACCTCTGACTTCCCTAAAATCTAAACTCCTTACAAAGACTTCCAAGACTCTCCAGCCCCAGGCCCTGCTCCCTCCCGGCGTCCCCCTCTCTTTACCTGTTTACGCCCTTCTCGCCAGTTCTCTTCCCCTGGTTCACTCCTCTCTGGCTGCTCAGGGTTTCTCTCCATTCCTCTGCCCAGAATGCTCTTCCCCCCTCCCGAGTTTTTTACATGTCTGCCCCTTTCTTATCTTTTAGACTTTAACTTAAATGTCATCTTCTCCAAAGGCTTTCCCTAACCACCCAGTCAGAAGTCGTCTCCACCCGTCTGTCCTATCACAGATGCTCCTGGGCTCATGATGGGGTTACATCCCGATAAACCCAACATAAGTCAAAACTATTGTAAGTCAAAGTGTGTTTAATACCCTGATAAACCCATCATAAAGTCAAAAACTTGTGAGTCGAACCGTTGCATGTCAGGGATGTCTGAACTTTGTTCCCTTTTACTGCCTTTTGCTTTTGTTTGCTGCCCGTCTCCTGCTGGGATGTCAGCTTTGTCTCCTGTCTTGTTGCTCCTCATGACTGTCATCTGGGAGTCAGGGGCTCAGCAGCCCAGAGGACACCCTGATGCTCAGAGAGAGTTTGGGCCTACAAGAGAGGTCTTTCTCTGTGCTGCTGTTGTTCCTTGGATATCGGGTGTAAATAACTGTGTATGTGATGGACGTGAAGTTCAGAGAGATTCAGAGCATGCCAAACCGTTCTGATGGAGGGAGGGAGGGTGGAAGGAGTGCGGTGGGAAGGCAGCCCTCGGGAAAGCGCAGGGAACTCCAGCAGCATCTAGCCAAAGGTTTGCACTAGAACATTTTAAATTGTGAACTTCTGGAAAAGAGTAGTGCAGAAGTTGTATTCACTTTAACCATTCTGGTACCTCAGTCCTGAGTGGATGCCTGCTGGGGAGCTTCCACCCAGCCGCCTCCTTCTGTGTCCACCAGAGGGCGACAGGTGTCTTCCAGGCAGCTCCCCGCAGGCGCCTGAGCCCCGCTGTCCAGCCTGGGCAGGAAGCCGCCTCCCTCAGCTCTAGGGGCACCGTTTCCATTGTTGCCTATTCACTGAGGGCTGACTGCTTGCCAGGCTCTGAGTAAATAATAACAGCCAACATTTACGTGTGGTTTGTTATGGACTAGCCTACTGGTCTAAGTGCTTTACATAGATCGAGTCTATTATCCTCACATCCGAGGCATTATTCTCATTTTTACAGATAAGGAAACAGGGACAGAGAGGGTTAAGCTGCTTGCTATTATGGGCTAGCCTACTGGTCTAAGTGCTTTACATAGATCGAGTCTATTATCCTCACATCTGAGGCATTATTCTCATTTTTACAGATAAGGAAACAGGGACAGAGAGGGTTAAGCTGCTTGCTTTAGGTCACAGTCTGTCAGTTGTAGAGCCAGGATTCAGACCTGTCTCTACCCGAGTTTGAACCCTTGATTGCTATGCAACACAGCCTCTTCCTTGACATAATGGCTGATGCCAAGTAAGTGCTCGGTAGATGGTTGATTGTTACTATTATTATTAATACAAATTCTCATAACAATCCTGTGGGGTAGATACTATTATTATTTCTAGAATTATTATTTTCCTAGCAATTAATACTTTTATTTTTTTATTTTATTTTTTAAATTTTAACATTTACTTATAAATATTTGTGGGGTACAGTCTGTTGTTTCAACACATGCATATCCTGCACAATGATTCACTTAGGATAGATAGCATAGTTTTGTACCCACTAGTCCACCACTTAATAATTTTATTATTTTAAATTGAGGAACAGAGAAGTTAAGTAACTTACCCAAAATCTCATAGATAGAAAATCACATAAGTAGGTTTCAAACTAAGTCTTTCTGATTCTGGGCCCTGAGCTTTTGTAAAGACAACATGAGACTGGCCAGTTAGCTCCGTTGTTTAGAACACAGCCTTGTAACACCAAGGTCAGGGGTTTGGATCCCTGTACCAGCCAGCCACAAAACAACAACAACAAAACACAAAAGAAAGAGAATATGCTCTCTATGCTGCCACTTTGTAGCAGCTCAGTTAGCAATTTTTTTATTTAAATAAGAATTTCCCAACAGGCAAGGTTGCGGTGAGACGGGTACCCTGCTGGCCATGTGCATCAACAAACTCCTGTTTGGACAGCCACCTGGAAATGGGTAACGAGAGCTCCAGAGGCGTCCCCTCATGTTCCCATCAACCTGCCTCCTGAGCACTGATCCTAAGGAGAGATTTTCCAGGAGATGTTTCTTTTGTGGGATTTCTCTGCCTTTCCCGCTGACTCTCACATGAAACTGCACACTTAAGCCTTCTGGGCTGGAGCCCACTTGATTTGGGGTCCAGTACTCATAACCGTTCTTCTCATGTGCCAGGGCATTTACATCTGAGCCCGTGACACCCCTTCAAAGGAAGCAAGGCAGGGATTACCACCCCATTTTACAGATTGGAAACTGAGACTCAGGCAAAAGTTTTTTGAGGTCACATGTTAGTTAGCAAAAGACACCAGTCCAGAAAACAGGTTGTTTGCCCTGTCCTGTGTATGTGGAAAGCCTGAATCCTGTGTGACTCGGTGAATCCAGCTGATGGAGTTTCATAGATCTATATTGAAACTCCCTGTGAGCACTGTGGGAGAAAGCTCTCGGCTGAGATAGATAGATGATAAATGATAGATAGATAGATAGATAGATAGATAGATAGATAGATAGATAGATAGATAATAGAAAATCTCACAAGTTTCTCCTTTAAACCTTCCCAACTCACTTTCATACACTGTTGATGGGCATGAGTTGGTGAAGCCTCTATGGAGTACATTTTTGGCAAAGCTATCCAAATTACAAATGCACATACCTGGGCTGGCTGGTTAGCTCACTTGGGAGAGCATGGTGCTGGTAACACTAAAGTCACGGGTTTGGATCCCCATACTGGCCAGCTGCCAAAAAAAAAAAGACCCCAACAAAACAAATGCACATACCCTTTGATCTAGCAATTCCACCTCTAGGAATTTATCCTTTAAATATCCTGAAATCTTGGATGTATAAGATGTAATTTACTGCAGTCAGTGTTAACTATGAAAGCAAGAGATTGAAAACATCCTAAATGTCCATCAGTAGGGGACTGGTTAAATAGATTGTGAACACCTACAATGCTACCCAAAAAAGACCCAAAACTTCTGATGTAAAACTCTCTCTAAGGCGTATTGTTAAGTGAAAAAAACAAAGTGCATAGGAGGGTTTAGAGGGTGCCGTCATTTGTGGAAATAGGGGGAAATACATATATGCATTTGACTTTATATGTATAGAACATCTGGAAGGATACACAGCAAAGTGGGCACTGCTGCCTCTGGGGAGGACTGGAAGGCTGGGGGTGAGAGTGCAGGCGGAGGCTGCGCTGCACACACTTGCGGTCTCCGGGATACTTCAGTGTGGGAATGCTTTGACAATTCAAAAATAAAGAAGCAAACTAAGTGTCCCTGCCTCCCCTTTCCCACACACCTTGCAGGCAGGCTGCAGTGCCACTAGGCTGCCTGGCGATGGACAGATGAGTGCTGGCGACCCAGCCCTGCAGGAGCCCCCCTCGTACCCTCCCGTTCAGGTCATCCGGGCCCGAGTGTCTTCCAGCAGCTCCTCTGAGGTCTCCATCAACTCTGACCTGGAGGTACATGGCCGTTGCCTGCTGCATGGGTGCACGGGTGTCGTCATTCACCAGCACTTGCCGGGTGCTCCGTGGGGCTTGCTCTGCTGTTCTCTGCTCTTGCCCACATTAACCACACGCCTGCTAAATAATGATTAAACCCCTGCGGAGCTCCCACCATCTGCACGAGGAGTTTCCCAAACTGTGTCTGTACTGAGAACAGGTTTCCATGGTCAAATTAGTCAGAGAACACTGCATGTTGGAGTCCAGTCTTCAAGGATCACGTACACAGTCAAGTCCTACACTAATCAATGCATGAATAATAAACTTTTTTAAAGTCTCAGTGTTTCCCAGCCTCATTTGACCATGGAAGCTTTTCTTCCGCCTGAGGAAAACCAGCTGCATCCTGTTGTGTTAGTAGTGGCATTCATGGGGGGACCTGTGGTGGGTACCATGCCTGGCACTTTTATAAACTACCTCATTTTGAGTTTTTTTATCTGCGCACAAAACATGTCACTTCTTGGATACACAGACAGGTGTAACGCTGAGGTCTGAGCTGTCCTGTCCCTCTTGGTCCCGCAGCTGTGGTTCCTAGCCCTATTCAATGAGGAGGTTTCTTTTTGTCTGTGGAAAAATAAGAAGCATGAGGACAATGTAGTGGCCACATGTATGTCAGCAGAAGGTCGCCAACTGTTTCGGTGGGTGGAAGGACAGTCTTTTGTTCAGAGTTGTGTCCTTCAACTTTTTTGGTGTTAAATGCCCTTTTATGAAATGAAGGCAGTAGTCAGTGGTAGTTGGTGTTGAGTGTTTGCTTTGGATTCTAATGCCCTTATTTAACAAAATAATCAATTAGCCATCCTAAGTCCCCCAAATTTGTTGAACTTATACTGGACCTGGAAATCTGAAACTCAGAGCCACTGACTGTGTGATAAATCCAGAGTCCTCAGTGTGACATTCCAGACCTTTCACAACCTGCCCAGCCTCATGGGCCCCCCCTGCCTTCACCTCATGCCCTTCCCTGACCACGGTCTCTTCTCTTTCCCCGGGCCTTCTGGGCTTTTCCTCCTGGGGTCCCCTCTGGCCCCATTTCCTGTGCGAAATACCTCCCTCCCCCCGAGATTAATGGCTCCTTCCTCTCTGTGCCTGGAACACACACCTCCCTTACACAACTTCCACCGTTGGCCTGCAGCCCAGGTTGCTGTGGTGTCCTGGGGCGCCTTCATCTTTCCCCTTCAATCCTGGGACACAGCTGGTCATTGAGAGCTGGTTTTGAGTTAGGAATTCTGCACCCTCAGGGTTGTATCCCTGTGTCATTCTGTGTTACGTATTTCTTGGATCCAGTCTCAGGATCTGTAGGAGACCTAAGGCCTGGCAGCCTGGAACCCATGGTCTTGGCAAAGATCTAAGGCTGAATGGGAGAGGAATGAGCTGGAGCAGTGTGTTCAGAGAGAAGGGACATGAAGTCTGTGAGTCAGGGAGGGACTGGGGAGAGGGGAGGCAGCGTTTGCTCTGTGGAAACAAGGGCGACTTCTGCCACCCGCCCTCGGTTCAGGTAAGCATTGGACAGTGAACTTGAAAAATTCAGAAATTTGTCCTTGCTGGTTTGGGCCATTTCTGTTTTGCAGTCCTTGTTCTTCCCCTGTTATCTCTCTTTTTTTAAAACCTATTCTTTGACATATGTAAATTCCAATGGGACAGGGTCACACTCTTAAAACAGGCAAATGAAAATGAATGCTTTTGACCTTGTTAAAAGGAATCGTTTGTAGAAGCTCAGCTGCCCCAGCCCGACCCTCCCCATCTCCCCCCATCACCTCTTCAAGGCTCCACCTTTCAATTACCATAATAGGATTTCCCACCCTCTTAACAGTCACAGTGGGGGCTAAAGTTTCTAATGCATAAAACTTGGGGAACACAATTCAAGCTTCAGTGAGTTCTGGGGGGACATAATTCAATCCACTGCAGGAGACTTTAACAAACCTCACTCACTAAATAATTGACGGAACAAGCAAACCAAAAAATCAGAAATAATATAGCAGATGAAAACAACACAGTCAACATATGTGACCTAAGATGTTAGCTCACACAAAGCAGGCTTCTCTTGGGAACAATCCTTCCATTCCTGGCCTGACTGTCCATCCTCATATTCTCACCTATAAATCACAGGTATGCCTCTCTGCAGTACTTTCCCTGCTTCCTTGGGAAAATGCCAACTCTTCCAAACAAGGCATTCTCATTTATTGTTCTCTTCTTGACTCTCCAAGAATGCCAGTTGTCATCCACATGACTGATGTCTTCAGGCTATAGGTAAAGGATGAACCCTAGGCACCAAAAAAAAAAAAAAAAAAAGCGAAAAGTAAAAGTAATACATGTTTTTGGTAGAAAATGTGGAAAATGAGAAAAATGTAAAGAAGAAAATTAAGATTAACCCTCAAGCCTACCGACCAGTGGCTGCCTGCATGTGGTGGGACTGGGCATGCCTGACACGCTCCCTGTGTTGTTTGAAGCAATATTCCTTGAAGGTCCTGGTTCGTTTATGGTGAAGAAGGTGTGAGCAAGGTGTCTTTTAGCAGATGAGTGTCACCACGCTTCACCTGGCCGTTTGGCCATTCATTCAGCACGTGTCCTCCGAGGGTAGGAATTTGAAAGAAAAATGCTCGAGGAAGGACGGATCGGCTCGAACCCGCCTCTCAGGGTGGGAGGTGCATCGGACGCCGTGGATGTCCCCCTGGTTCTTGCACACTCCTGAGACAGGAGCAGCTGTTGACTGATGTAGGGCCTTGGGTCGTCACTTCCTCTGCCCTGTGACTTCTCTTGCTACCAGCACTGCGTAATTCAAATATTTCGTGGCCTTGGGCTCAAACTACCCAGGGCACCTGTCCCCGCACTTGGGTGGCCCCTGTCCCTCTGCCCCGACTCCGCTGAGGTGGGCTTCCACTCCCTCACCGGCCTCCCCGCTGTCTGTGTCGGCTTCTGTTTGTCCTCCTGGGTTGATGGGTGGATGCTTTCTGACCCCACTGTCGAGGCCTGTGGGACTGGGAGCCACGCTGTGTCTTTATCATCTTGTAACTGAACTCTGGGATGGTGGTTTTGTGTCCACGTTCTTGGGGCATGTACCAACTGTTTTGAATACCTACTTCTTGCAGAATGCTGGGGGAGTTGGAGAAATGAGTGATGCCTCACAAAAACATTGTATCCACAGCACTCTAGTTCACGAAGTGTCTCTGAATGCATTAACAAGAATGACAATAGGCACTGCCAGCAGTGACTGTGCGCATGTCCTGTGCTCAGCACAGTGTGGTCTATACTTTACAAGTGCTGCTTGTTTTAATAGGCCTGATGTGGAGACTGGACTAAATGAGATTAAGTAACTTGCCCAAGAAAAAAGAGTAATAATAATAATAATGAAGAAGAAGAGGCAGAACTGGGATTTGAACCCAGCTCTGCCTGCCATGAAACCTCTCTTGTTTACCATTCCGCTCCACTGCCTTGGCATAGCTGGTACCCAGGGAGGTATGCAGGACCATGTTTGTTATCCATTATTCCCATTTTACAGATGGGAAAGCTGACTCTCTGCCCAGGATCTTTCCACTCACCTGTGTCCTATGCTCTGCCTCTGTTCTAATAGGATAAAACATTGGGATGTACAAATTATTCCATTGACGGCAGAACACGAGAAAGGGTGAGACAGGCAGGACCATGGGAGCTTGCAAAGAGGGACAACTTAGGATCTTTTCACCTTTCCTCAAGTGTCCCACTGGCTGGACTGGTCAGGGCAACAGATGAATGATGTGAGAGCCTCAGTATGACCAGTTTATTGACCAAAGTAAATTAACCACCTGATCGAGATACCAAACAAAGAGGATTTATTTGACAGCTTGTTAGAACTGCAGCCCAGGAGACACAGGTCCAAGAAGTCTGGGATGTGCTTTGAGGGACAAAAGAGGGTCAGAATATTGAAAGGAGGAACCCGCGGAGAGGAGGGAGTGGTTACAGAAGTTGNGCAGGTCAAACAGGATTGTAAAGCTCCCAATACAAATTGTTTAATATATGACCAGGAGATGAGATAGCTTTTTTCAGGTATGTGATGCAGCGGGGCTCCTGGTAATCTATATTTTCCTGTTCTTAAAAGTAATACGTGTTCGGATCCCCATATTGGCCAGCCACCAAAAAAAAAAAAAAAAAAAAAAAAAAGCGAAAAGTAAAAGTAATACATGTTTTTGGTAGAAAATGTGGAAAATGAGAAAAATGTAAAGAAGAAAATTAAGATTAACCCTCAAGCCTACCGACCAGTGGCTGCCTGCATGTGGTGGGACTGGGCATGCCTGACACGCTCCCTGTGTTGTTTGAAGCAATATTCCTTGAAGGTCCTGGTTCGTTTATGGTGAAGAAGGTGTGAGCAAGGTGTCTTTTAGCAGATGAGTGTCACCACGCTTCACCTGGCCGTTTGGCCATTCACTCAGCACGTGTCCTCCGAGGGTAGGAATTTGAAAGAAAAATGCTCGAGGAAGGACGGATCGGCTCGAACCCGCCTCTCAGGGTGGGAGGTGCATCGGACGCCGTGGATGTCCCCCTGGTTCTTGCACACTCCTGAGACAGGAGCAGCTGTTGACTGATGTAGGGCCTTGGGTCGTCACTTCCTCTGCCCTGTGACTTCTCTTGCTACCAGCACTGCGTAATTCAAATATTTCGTGGCCTTGGGCTCAANAAGAGGGTCAGAATATTGAAAGGAGGAACCCGCGGAGAGGAGGGAGTGGTTACAGAAGTTGTGTCTGGTGCCAGAACACATCAAACAGTCTTGTCCATATGAGATTAGTGATTAGTCCTAATGGTTCTTTGAGGCAGGCTTTAGTCAGGGACATTCTGATTTGGTAGGAAGTAGCAGAAAATAGAGATCAGCAGATTCGTAGCCTTTCATCCAGGAAGTCATAACCTTCGTGATACAGCTGAGTGCAAGGTTTCAGAGTGTTCTCAGGACGTGCCTGGAGCTCAAGCTGGGATGGCCTCCCAGCTCCATTTTAGGTGCT